CACAAACTTGAGTTTCCCATGTGGGTTGTGTTGGGCTAAGTCGGGGACGTAGTGTAATCCAGGAAAGGTAACTGGGGAGGCTGAGGGCAGCAAGGCGAGGCACTCACGTGCTGGTGTCCTGACAACTACCCCTGTCTGGCTGTGTGATCTCAGGCAAACTCACCTCTGTGTGCCTCAGTTTCCTCAGCCATGAATAGAGGCTCCCGTCAGTCAGGGTCCTTGTAGGGAGCAACTGCTTGCTGCAGCCTAGAGCTGCCCACCAACACAATTATTAAGGACATTAGAAAAGTAAATAAAGGGGAAGATAAATTGACACATGAATAGTGAGGGTGTCACTGCTGGATCATTTTAGAAAAAAAAAAAGACTGGGCCGGGGATTTAGCTCAGTGGTTCCGCCACCTGCCTCGCAAGTGCAGGGTCCCGAGTTCGATCCCTGGCACCTTAAAAAAAAAAAGTGAAAAAGAACTCAGAATGAGAAAAAAAAAAAAAGACATTGTGCCAACAAAGGTTTATAAACGTAAATAATTGCATGAGGCTGAACAAGTGAGATTAGATTATATCAGAATTCCAACTGTTGTGGAATAACTTAGTGATTTGCATTTATGCTATCAAACAGAACATTCAAGAACTATATTTAATTTATGGCTAAACCCATTTAGTTTACCAGTCTTTCAAGGAAAAGTCCCCTTAGGGAAGTCTTCATGTCTTATCTGATGAATTAAAAGGAGAACGTCAAATCATCAGGAAGACAGAATACAAAATTTAGAAAATCAGTAGCTTTTCTATACACCCATAATGAACTAGCTGAGAAAGAAATCAGGAAAACAGTTCTATTCACGATAGCTTCAAACAAACAAAAAACATAGGGATCAACCTAACCAAGGAGGTGAAAGACCTCTCTAAAAGACAAATTACAGAATGCTGAAGAAAGAAATCAGAAAAGACATTAGAAGGTAGAAAGGCCTCCATGTTCATGGATAGACTGAATTAACATTGTTAAGATGGCCAAACCACCAAAGGTGATGTACAGATTCAATGCAATCCCCATCAAAATTCCAATAACATTCTCCACTGGACTAGAAAGTCTATCCTAAAATTCATAAGGAAACACAAAAGACCCCAAATAGCCGAAGCAATCCTAAGAGAAAAGAGCAAGGCTGGAGGCATCACAATACCCAATTTCAAATTGTACAAAGCCACAGTAACAAGGCATCATGGCACAAGCACAAAAATAGACACATAGACCAGTGGAAGAGAGGACACAGAAACCCACACAACTATAGCTATCCAATTCTTGACAAAGTAGTCAAAAAATGTATGTTGGAGAAAAGACAGGCTCTTTAACAAATGGTGCTGCAAAAACTACATACCCACTTGTAGAAGACTGATACTAGACCCACAGTAGAAGGATAGACATGTATCTCTTACTCTGTACAAAAATTAATTCAAGATGGATCAAAAACTTAGGTATAAGAGCTGAAACTTTGAAACTGTTAGAAGAAAACACAGGGAAATATTTGAAGCTGTAGGCACAGGTGAAGACTTCCTGTACAGATTTCAACAGCACAGGAAATAAGAGCAAGCATCACCACCTGGAACTACAACAACTTTAAAAGTTTTGCACAGCAAGGAAAATAACCAACAGAGCCAAGAGACAGCCTATAGAATGAGAGAAAATCTATGTCAGCTAATCTTCAAAAAAACCATTAATATCTAGAATGTATAAAGAACTAAACATCAAAAAAAATCAAACAGCCCCATCCATAAATTGTCAAATGAATAAATGAATTGAACAGATACTTCTCAAGAGAAGGGTATATATATATATATATATATATATATATATATATATATGAATTTTTTCCATCATCTTTAGCCATTAGGGAAATGCAAATCAAAACTATTTTGAGATCCCCTCTCACTGCACTCAGAATAGCTATCATCGGGAATACAAAACGCGGTAAACAATGGGAGGACACAGGGAGAAAGACCCCTTCTACACTGCTGATGGGAATGTAAATTAGTACAGCCACGGTGGAAATCAGGGTGGAGCTTCCTCACAAAACTGAAAACAGAAGCACCATATGACCTAGGCATCCCGCTCCTTGGCATATACCCAAAGGAATTAAAGTCAGCAGACTACAGGGGACCTGAATCCATGTGTATTGTGTCACAGTGGCGAAGAAAAGGCAACCAGCACAGGAGCCCATCAAGAGATGAACAGATAAAACACACAACACAGTAGCATATCAGCCGGAAAGGAGAATGAAATTATGGAATTTGTGAGAAAAATGGATGGCCTCAGAGATCACCATTTTAAGCAAACTAACCCAGACTCCTTAAAATGTGGAATCTAAGAAAGGATTCCATGAAAGTAGAAGAGAGACTATTATTAGACAAGAGAAAGGGACAAGGGGAGAGGACAGGAGAGGAAAGGGAGCATTCCAAGAGGGATGGACACGATCAAAACATACCGTATACATTAAAACCCAATATTTTGTAAAATTAATAGGCACTAATAAAACATATCTTTTAAAATGACATCAAGCCTCTGAACAGCACTACTAGGAGTTATGGAACTATGCCTTCAAGATTCCAAGCAGGGGATTATTTTTGTCACAGAATTTTATAACTCGGTCAAGCACGGGAAGAAGCAAAGGCTAACAGTTGTTTTCAGGAAGAGAAAAAGTCTCCAAATTCACGCATAATATATTAATGATAAGTCATCTTCTATCCAGACATTGTGAAGACTATAAAGAGGGAAGAAGTAAAGGAGAAAGTGTTAGAGAAAAAGCAGGAAACATTGAAATAATTTTGCTCTCCCGTCACCGACCAAGAGAGGACTTGTGTTTTTGTGGCTGTCCTTTAGGGCAGCAGCAGTGACCAAGGAGCTGACAGCTGTGAGACATGGCTTTTTCCACACTGTGATATCAACCCTGCAAAATATGACTGCCAAACTTTCTAAGGCTGGGATATTGGACATAAAATTTCAGATGGTGTATGATGTTCCAGGAGCTTATTTTACAAGAAGTATTTATCTTAAGTCAAATATTGGTTTTTTGTTTTGTTTTGGTACCAGGGGTTGAACTCCAGACCTTGTGCACTTTTGAGGCAAGCAGCAGAACCACTGAGCTAAATCCCAGGCCCAATTTAAAGTTATCTTAAAAGTTATTAAATTCTGTAAAAAAGAAAAAAACTATAAAATTCTGCAGAAAATTACAAGACAGAAGAGAAAGTAATTGTTCAAAGATAGGATGGGGAAGAACTTGGCAAGATCGAAGGTCAGAGACTAAAGAGGGTGGGATGAGAGCCAGGTACCAGCTGAATAATAGCATGGAACCCCAAAACCAAACCAAAACAAAGAATGCCGGTGTGGTTTGGGAAGGTAAATACTCCTCCGAGTTTTGTGTCAGCCGAATGTTCGTGACAGTCGAGTGGGCAGTGACATGTTGACACTGGACAGGGTGGCAAACTAATCATAAAAGATTTTTTTTAGCGAATAATTAAACAAACCAGAATCATTTCATCAGAGAAAAAGATGGCCAGGAGGTAGCTTGAATTCTTTTTCAGGACTGTGATAGTTTTTCATTTTGTTTTGTTTTTGCCATGCTGGGGATCAAATGAACGGTTTAAAATATAAAAAGCAAAAGTACATTTCTCATGTCTGTGGAGAGCTGAGAACTACTTTGAAATAAAATCACACTTCTCAGGGAAGAGTCCAGACTTCAGGAGATGGATCCAAAGAATGCGTGATGAGTTCAGCATTGTTATCAGCAAGCACTGCATTAGGCTTGGGGACAGCTGGGGAGTGGACAAAGAAGACTCCTCTCTTCCCCTCTTCCCTGACACCCTACGAGCGCATACGCATCAAAATACGGGACAACTGAACAACTGTTCTGGCTACTAACCACAGAGAAAAGAACCCCACAAAACAACCACAAAAAAAGCAACCAGCCTAATTTTCCAGGCAAGAAGGTAGAGGAGGAAGGTGCATGGCTGGAGTAACAGGGGCCTCTCTGTCACCAGGATGCCACCAAACCTACTTTACTTTTACGTGATGTTATCAGCAACTGAGACACAATTAAAGACAGGGAGAACTGGCCATGCTCGTGGAAAATCTGCAGCTATTAAAATCTATTTCTGGAATTCAGACTGTCAGGTTCAAAACTGAACCGTAAAGAAATGTGCCGGTCGTGCTTGGGTCAGCTGCAAACTCGATGACTCAGGTCCTGGGCTAGATTGTCATAGGTCCTTTGAAAGCAGTGTGCCTGATACGTTGCTTGCCGGTATTCCGAGGACCAAAGGAACTTCAGACTAGTCTGGAAGTTTCTTTTGTTGATTGTCCTGGTCTGGTTGTGACGTTTTGAGGCCACTCGTGCGAACAGCATTGCACTGAAAGGCGAAGCTCTTCTTGGGGGGGCTGGCTATGAATCTCGTCCACCATCTCAGACCTATGAGGCACAGACACAGGCTCGATGAAGTGGAAACATTTTGGTTCTACAAAACGAACTTGGTTTGGTTAGAGAAAGCCAGGGTAATGAACAGTATGAAAAGGTCTTTGCCTTTGAACAAGGGACCGCAGCAGAGGGAGCTCTGGCGCCCATTTCATTGTCTGTGAGTACATAAAAGCAAATCCTTCTAGAACTCCAAGAGATTTTGCTTTGGCCCCCGGATTTATTTTCTATTAGGTCTTTCGCTGATTTGGTGTTGAAAGGAGATTTAAAGGTGGGCTGGGAGAAGCTCAGAGCTGGCACTGCTGCAGAGATAGAGAAGGAAAACTCAAGGGTGGACGAGTCTTTTCCAGAATTGCATCGCTTTGCAGAGAACACTGAGAGCTTCAGGATGCTGCACTCAGGGTAGTTCGCAGTGGGGACAGATCTTGACCCAGCATCACGCCATGTTGACGGGACAGCGGGCTGGTACTGGGTGGGGCTGGAGCTTCATAGGACCAGAACTCCCCTAATTCCTACTCATGTGGCTTCTGCCTGTGTGTACAGGAGGCAGAAGAGACAAAACGAGAACAAAGCCAAGAATGAAGTGCTCGAGTTGAGCTAGGATCTCTGTCTCCAGGAGGAAGAACTAGCACAGTCAAGCCTGGCTCAGGTAAGAGAATTCTTATCGGTCCTGTATGCTCAGAAGTGGGAGAAGACACTGGCCTCCATTTATGAGACAAAAAGTGCTGCTGTTAATTGCCTGGGGTCAGATAAGAAGGGCGACCATCCAGCCAACAGCAGGTGAATGAAGTTTCCAAGTTAAAGAATGCACTTGGGCGAAGTCTAGTAGCACCTGCTGCAGTTTGGCTATGGAAGGTGCCAAAGGGGAGGCTTGGTCTCTAGTGTGGTGGAGTGAGAGGTGATTGAAATCCTTAAGAGGCGGGGCTTAAAGAGAGGTTTTCTGGTCATTGAGGGTGTGTCCTGGAAGGTGATAATGGTCAGCAGCTGGGCTGTGATGTAGCAACGATGTGCCGGCTTCCCACCGGCCCAAGAGCAATTGGGCAACCAACTGTGGACTGAGACTTTCAAAATGGAGCCAAAACCTTTCCTCTTTATAAGTCAATCCCCTCTGGTATTTTGTTATAGTAACAGAAAGCTGAGGAACACAGCAAGCTATGGGTATATTTTCAAAGCAATATTATCTCAGTAGAAACTATCAGGTTATTCTCATTTTTTGGTAAAAATGATACTTTTTCCTTTTAAAAAAAATTTATTTAAAAAACCTTCAGTGTGGCTATTTATCATCTTCTTATGTCTACTTTTTAATTGGGTTGTCTATTAATGAGCTCTAAGTATTCTTTATATATTCTGGTCATAGGTTATATGCATTGGAAATATGGTCTGCTTAAGGACTACTTTTCTTTTTAATGATGTCA